AAGTACCTAACAGCCATACGTGGCTTGTGGCTACTGTCCAGGATATCAAAGCCTGAAGTTCCGTTGCTAGATTGGCTTTAGATGCACTATACTGTTCCAGAACGCTAGCCTTAATTCTCTCCACCAATATACTCTTTGCCCCTTGAAAAAGGATTCCTTCTCCAACCTTAATGCTCAAACGACTAAAGTACCAATGAAGAGCCCATTCAATTAATCTTTCTTCTCAACTTAACTGTCAAAATTGAAAGCCATGGAAATCACTCAGCTCTTAAGTTTTTAAAGAAGCAAAACTACTCATTCTTCTTCCATCTCTTCAATAGCTTCCTCTTCTACACCAATGAATTCTTTTTGTATTTGCAACTGTCTTTTACAGTTCTGATCTACTCCCAATTCCTAGCCTGTCAGCCAACTTTCCCCCCATCAAGTCTCAGAATCTTATTTTCACTTGAAAGCCTGCCAGTCTTTTAGACACACTGTGCTTTCCATCCCCCTTAGTTCCCAGGCCAGAATGACATGACCTCCCTACATCTTTTTTTTTTAAAGATTTATTTTTATTGCGAAGTCATGTATATATATATATATATATAGAGAGAGAGAGAGAGAGAGAGAAGAAGAAGAAGGAGGAGGAGGAGGAGGAGAGACAGAGGAGGATCTTCCATCCAATGAGTCACTCCCCAAGTGACTGCAACAGCTGGAGCTGAGCCAATCCGAAGACAGGAGCCCGAAGCCTCCTCCAGGTCTCCCTTGTGGGTGCAGGGTCCCATCGCTTTGGGCGTCCTCCACTGCTTTCCCAGGCCCCAAGCAGGGAGCTGGATGGGAAGTGGGGCTCCCAGGATTAGTATCAGCAGCCATATGGGATCCCGGAGCATTGAAGCCGAGCACTTTAGCTGCTAGGCCACCACACAGGGCCCAACCTCCCTACATCTTTATCATCATTTTCCTAGTCTCAAAATCAATTATCACTGGCTTCACATATAAGGAGGTGAGGCCTTCAGGATGGTTCTCCTTGGAGATATCTCTCTACTACCTACCACTGCTCTAACTGAAATCCCAATTATCCCTTCCTGAAAAACTGTATTCACCTATTTCAGTATTTTCATATTCACTTCTATAACATGTGTGCAGTGGTTTGTGTGGAGTGCTCTGGAGTGGTAAGTACTCAATGTACACCGTGAACCTTAAAAACTTTATTAGCAGCTGTATGTGCTTGAGGAAAAACACTAGCACATCAAACCTTTGATTTCAAACTATAATTATGCAGGCTAAAGAGTAGATCAATAAAGAAATCAACAATGTAGTCAGCATACAAATATGCCAAAAATCATCAAAACAGTATGCAAATGAGTAACACTGGAAATCATCATCTTAGTGAGTATCTCTGGTAACCTGCTCCCCTTCCCACAATCTTAGCTGCCAAATTAACTTGACAGACCTCCCAGATTATACCACATGCCTGCCACAAAACCTCCAATGGCAAGCCTGCCACCCAACTACTGCTAACTCCCCCGTCCAACTTCAGAACATATCCCTGTCCCCTACTCCATTTAAATCTCCCTTTGCAGAAGCAGAGGCTGTGGTGCTGCAGGTTAAGCCATCGCTGAGGCGCTTGCATCCTGTATCTAAGTTTCAATTCAAGTCCCATCTACTTCTGCTTCTGATCCAGTTCCCATTCAATGCACCCAGAAAGCAGGGCAAGCTGACTCAAGCACTCTCAAGTGCCTGCTGCCCATGCAGGAGACCTGGATGGAGTTCCTGCTCCTGGTTCAGCCTGATTCAGCCTGGTTGTATGCAATAGGAGAATAAACCAGCAAGTGGAAAATCTCTCCCTGTCTTTCAAATAAATAAATCTCCAAATCTTCCGTAATAGCTATTGTGTTTTTCCCCATTCCAATCTGTGATGTTTATTTTGTTTCTTGCTAACCCAGAAAAAATGTAATCTTCTAGAACTCAATGAAAACTAAAAGGCAAATTTTAATATCTATATTTTGAAGTATCTGCTATGTGCCTTCCCCCAAGAAGTCTGTCCTAATCTTTCCCATTGGACTCAATCTCTTCCCTGCTCTTCACTTCCCTAACACTTTATGATCTGTGGCACTCATTACATAGTTTCTTTAGCTTCTTGTATGGTTTTCTTTCTCCTAGATTCTGAGTAACTGAAGAGTAGGGATGGTGCCTCCAATTTCACTGTTTTTTTTCTATCATATCACCCTACACCTACAACATTCAGGTATCGGTGAATAAATCCATTTGTACCTTAACCTCAATGGCTTTATGGCAGGAAACAATGGAGTGATCATAAAGAAACCCGAATTTGACTTGACAGCTTTAGATTAAGAAAAACTTCTCTATCTGGCTATACCTATTTAGAAGAAAAGCAATGATTACTAAAAATGACAAACTATATTGTCCAGAATGACCTACTTCTGTGCTGTAAATTGGAATAGGAGTCTCTGAAGTAGCAAATTTAACTCACAATATTAATCAGAATCTAATCTATTAATATATGTAGTGATTCATCACCTCCATGTACATATATGCTATCTGAAAGACTGCCTAAGTTGTTATAGTTCTTCTAATAGTATTTTATCTCATATCTCTCAAGCATATACTAATAAACAAGCCACAAATATGTGAAAAAAAAAAAGGTTTAAGCAAGAAAACAAACATGTAATTGTTGTGGATTGTGGGTTCTGTCATTTATGTACTTTTCAGTGCCTTGGGGATGATATAACTGATCCATTTTAGCAGTAAGGTGGTGCATGGAAGGTTAGGTTCTTCTGAGGTTATTAAAAGGGTAGAGAATAAATACCTCGAGTCACTTCAATGGTCTGTCAGCCTTACCAGATTCAAAGAAAGAGAGCAACTGACACATTGCAGGTAGGCACATTGAGGAGCCCAGAAGTAAAGGACTATATGATTTTTCTCAGCTAATTCCTACTCCAAGAAACTTCTACCATTCTGATAGGACAGTTGAATTTAAATGTCAAGAAAAAGACACACACAGAAGCGGCTTTGATTTTAAGTCTGAGGAGGGGGAGTCTACAGTAGCTGCTTCCCCATCACACTCCCAAAGCTCCTTTTCAGGGACAGCAGTTGCTTTGTCCATGACACGAATCAGAGGGGCATGTGGCTTCCAGCACTTTTAACATTTTTTTAATTTGGGGTTGGGGAAAGAAGAGAATACATGAATCGCTTTGTGTTCCCCAAATCCTAAAGCATAGGGATCAGCCATGCTGACCCCAATGGAATCCAGAGCGAGAGTGGGGCGTTGGGTTCCCCGAGGAAAGGGGGCAGATCCAGAACAGAGCAGAAACGGTGATAGTTATCTGTGTGAAAAAGTAAGGATACTCTAGGTGAGAGGAGCAACAATCTACAGAGCAATCTGAGAGAAAGGGAGAGGCACAAAAAGGAAGAGGCGGCGGCAGGAATGCGAAAATAAGAGCTGGATACTATTGCCTGACTCACTTGGCTTCTTTTCAGGGTTAGTGGGAAAGATATATTAGAGGCATATTAGCGTCAAGGATCAGGAATCCACAGCAAACAGATGAAGTTCCCAACAACTTCTTTTTGGTGCTGCTTACCACTTGGCTTGCTTCTGGGGGCTCAACTTGATTCTTAAATAAACTGCCTATTTCCTTATCGAACTTTAGTATCAGGGCACAAATCACACAACTCAGAAGATCTGAATTTTGCTGTGATGTGCTAAGGCCTAAGCCACTGGTTCTCCAGGCCCAATGGTCTTAGTTGAACGAATGAATTTGATCTGTAGCTATGTCTCTCCTAAGACCAGATTCGTGAAACAAATGGAAACGCCACAGCATGATCAGCAAACTATGAGTACACACAGATCAGGGTTCTACTACTGATGCAAGATTAAACTGCCTCCCCAGCTTTTGCCAAAGTAACCAGCACCAATGTTTGTAAGATAAGAGCAGAGCTTCTAGTTTCCAAAGGACAAACCCAAAGCACGCTATGCATAGCCTATAGCCCCCACCTCCCTCCCACAAGCCAAGATCCCAGCCCCACTCTGCTGTCAGATAGTTACATAGAGGTCATGTCATTGAGGGCGTGGTCCAGCTCCTCGCTAATGGCCTTGTACTTCAGTTTCTGGGCATAGAGCTCATCTGGACAGGTACAGGAACCACAGGGAGGAACGAGGGGATACAGTGGAAGGTATCAGAGCAGGTGAAGAGAGGGAATCATCAAAAATTAGGAAACGTGTGACCAAGGATCTAATATCAGAAAACACCTATTCTGGCAGCCTTGATTAGCCACTTTCAGGGTCACTGTCCCCCCAAGCACTTCTTGATGCCTTTAACCCACTACAGCCAGGGCTGAGGACTTGGCCCAGTCAAGATCTGTTAGCAAGGCACGTGAGGATACCAATCTAATTCCTAGCAGTGATGACACTTGATTTAACAAGAAAAGAACAGGGAGAAAACAAACTCATATATACTTCCCAGCCTACCACATCTGACCACCCTTCACGGCCCCTCTTTTCCAAAGGTTGCCTCCTCAAATTCTTCCCAAGAAAACCCTGCACCTGCAAGCAAATCCCAGTGCTCTCAAGGCAAAGAACACCTTCCCTTGTCAGGGTGAACGGGTGACAAATTGCAGGGACAAGAAGCAGTGACAAAGCCCCAGAGCTTCATCTCTCGGGACACACCCACACTAGGGTGTTGACTGTTAAAAACAGTCATAGGGTAGGGCACAGATTTTTGTCACCTTCTGAAAACAGGGCTTCCATTTCAATAATTAAAGACTATTCAATTGGAGGTAAAGGCAACCATTACAAGGGAAAGAGACATATTCTAGAACATTAGGAGAAGTCACATTCAAGGAATTGATTAAATGTAAAAATTCAACTCTAAGGTGGACCCATTTCACCTAGTCATGGCAAAGGATGGGCACCTGACATATGCCAAACCTCTACCAGTTAATTATATCATTATGGGGCAAGATCTCCCTCAACATTTCTCCATCCCTTTCCAGGCTCATACCTTCCAAATCATCAATTGTCTTTTCCAGCTTGGCTACTGATCTCTCAGCAAATTCAGCCCGTGTCTCTGCCTGGGGGAAAAAACCACTCAGTCAGAGGAGCAAGAAGAAAGGGATCTTTAGTTCTTTGACCCTGGACTTCTAGACCTTGCAGAGTCCAACCCGCCAGCCTAAGTCCATACTAATGCCTAATACAGCTCTGAATGCTTTGGGTAGTTCCCCATGGTGTTCTCAGCTTACCTCCTTGAGTTTATCAGTAAGAATCTTTATTTCTTCTTCATATTTGTCCTCTTTTTGAGAATACTGCAAAAGAAGAAGAAAAATTTCAGAGTAGAAATTGGTTAGAGACAACATTCCCCCCTCCCTGCAGGTACTTTCACATTAAATCTCTTCTTGGACTTCATGTACTGAATGGCCCAAGCAAGAGGAAGACCCTCTACCTCCATCATACCCTCACATCAGAATCTTCCAGGAACTTTGTTTTTAAAATGGACCTACACTTTGACCTCATTCAGATCAACCCAAGGTGGTGTTTATGACTGAAACACTCCCACACGATGACAGAAGTCTTCTGTTGTGATTGCTCATTTTGTCTGCCAGGAAGTCTATTAGAGACCCTAACCTCTGCCTTTCGACACAACAGTTAGGAGCCCAAGGAGCCCACGATTAGCCACCTGAAATCAGTAACTTTAGCGAAAGCAATCAAAGTATGCAGGAATGAGCATTAAATCCAGGATACTGAATAAATGGCAGGCAGATGGGTAGGCAAAGGACACTTTTGGAGGCAGGTGCTCGGCACTGTAGTTAAGACGCCATTTAGGATACTCACATCCCATTAGAGTATCTGGGTTTGGATCCTGCCTCTGTTCCCAATTCTAGCTCCCAGCTACTGTGCACCCTGGGAAGCAGCAGTAACTACCCAACACTTAGAGTCCTGCCACCTATGCAGGAGGGAGTGGATTGAGTTTCCAGCTCCCACTGTTGGCCTTACGCAGTCCCAGCTATTATGGACATTTGTGGAATGAACTAGCCTTTCTGCCTTTCAAATAAAAGTCAAAGAACAGGGAGAGGGCGGACTAATACAAGATTTAATAAGGAGTTAAGTATTTCCAGTCATTTATCAAGGGCAGGGCTGGGACTGGGCCCCAAAGCCTGTCACCTTCACAAACCAGCCCCCTACCTTCTCAGCCTGAGCCTCAAGAGACTTGAGGTTGTTGGTGACATTCTTCAGCTCCTCCTCCAGCTCAGAACACTTACTGTGAATATTTTAAATACCGCAGGAGAGGAAAGGGGAAGAGGAAGAGAATAAAAAAAGGGAGAGAGACACACAGAGGTGAATTGAACCTATATGTAAGAAAGAGTTTGGGAAGGTATACTGGGGAAGAGAAGTTCCCAGGTAACCTGAGCAAGCATCAACCCTCCTCCCTCTACCACGGCACAGGACCTGAGCTGGACTCTCCTGAGCTCAGAATGTTTGGACAGTAATCAAGAAAAAAATGTTTGAGAAACCACTGCCAGGAACAAGTCATAAATGCTACCTGGGGTGGAGGAGGAAAAAAATGCCCAACCCAAACAGTCCCCCAAATCACCCCAAGGAAGGAGACACCCTGTGGAGAAGCAGTGAAGCAACTAGGAAAGAGATAAAAGATGCTCAGGAAGTGGAACAGAATGGAGCATTCCATGAAGAGATGAGAAAGCACTCAACAAATCAACCAGTGGAGGAGAGGCAGCTGCAAAACAAACAAAAACCAAACCAGACCAAACCACACCATCCACAGAAGCTCTCCGTGCGTTTAATGGTTAGTACCTTTTCTTCAGCAGCACTCAGACACTTCAGGTTCTGGTCCATCAGTCTGATCTGCTCATCCATCTCTCGGCAACGGCTGTTAGTGACAGTCACGGGGGTGGGCACAAGCCCGGTGGTGGGAGGGAGAAAGGTCAAAAAGGAACACAGCAAAAAAACAAGCAGCAAAATGGAGAAAAAAAAAAAATCAAAAAATGGGAAGAAAACACCACGATGGTCATGATATGTCATGTCTGGGAGGGGAATGCAAAAGGAAGCACAAATATGTATGCACTCAGCACTGACTTTGTTATACAAGGCCCAGAGGTGCCAACAGTGGAGCAGTTAGTGTTTGCCTTTGCCCTACAACTCCCCAGCAGGTGGGCAAAGTGGGAAAAGCAAGACCAAATTTTAAATCACTTTAATGTCTCTCCAAGTGGATGGCCTGATTAGAGCCCTCCAGTTAACTGTACACCATCTATTAGCCCTTATGTTCCCTTAATTTGCAAGCTCTCCCATCAAGAAATAAGCAAACCTTATTTGTCACCTGTCCTTAGTCAAGTGAAAAGAGTAAGGAAACCCAAAGCCATTCTTAAAGCCTAAAAAAAGCATGTTAGATGGCTCCCTCTCCAGGGCCCTGTTTAACAAGGTTGAAGAAATGCTAGTTGATTCATATTAGTGCCCAAGCCAAAGAAGAAGAGACAGGATGGTATTCAAAACATTTGGGGAGCAAGATACTCACGACTCTGCCAGCTCAGCTCGCTCCTCTGTACGTTCCAAGTCTCCTTCAATAATCACCAATTTACGCGCCACCTACAGGAAGAGACCGAGGCACGCCTCAGGAAAGCAAAGTCGCCACGTCCCTCACAATCCTCTGCAGAAGGCTGATGTCACTGAGGAAGACTGGGACAAACAGAAGGTGTCTTACCTCTTCATACTTCCTATCTGCCTCTTCGGCAATGTGCTTGGCTTCTTTGAGTTGGATTTCTTGGAGTTCCATCTTTTCTTCATCTTTTAAGGCCCGGTTTTCAATAACCTTCATACCTCTGCAGGGAACAAGGCAAACGCAGCACTAGCACCTTGAGGAGTCTGTTCTCAGCTCCAACCCAAGAACCCAGATTTGTACCCTTTAAATCTCATTCCTCAGTACTGGCAAACCACGGTAGGGGCGGTCCTGGTGGGGGTTATTGTGGGTCGCTCCAACTAGGCTGCAGCTCCCACTGGTTTAGGTGAGGGCCAAGTATGTGCTGGGCAGAACCAGGCTGGACTGCAACACCCATTGGTTCCAGTGGAAGTCGGGAGTGAAAACAGAACCAACCCAGCAATTACAACCACCAGCTGATTGGGGCGATGGACGGTGCCAGGCCCTGTACTTGTTAGCACATACAAGAAGTTTCTTTGGAGATCTTCCTAATCTAAATGCTGGACTCAGAACCCTAACGAAGAAAAGAGAGAAGACAGAACGGGTCAACCAACCATCTCAGCTATGATGGACTATGTCAATCAGTGGATTTTTCAAAGACCTCATAGTGCTTGGAGTGGCAAGATTGACAGCGATTCATAATTGTTGCAATATCAAAACCACTTGAGCAAGAACCTCAGAGCATGCCCTACACCCGGGACTTGGGGAGGGTGGGAAATTGGGTGGGCCTTCTCCCTTAATACCCCCCTTTTAAACATGAAGGTAACAATATGGAAAACATACTAGTATTATCCACTTTCCTGTAGCCCTTGAACCTTCTTACTCTAACTAAGTATGTAAAGAATGTCAAAATAAATTTTATTAATAAAAAAAGAAAATAATAATAATAATAATAATAATAATAATAAATCTTTAAATCTCATTCCTCACGGCTTGCCATTTAAATGGAATCCAAAAGCACTGTCCCACACATGAGGGTATTTATTTCATTCAAATCATTCTTTGGACACTGGCATCCCATCCAGTTTGAGTACTGGAAGCTCCATTTCTGATCCATCTCCCTGCTAAAGTGCCTGGGAAAGCAGTGGAAGATGGCCCAAGTCTTTGGAACCCTGCATCCAGCAGTGGATGACACCTCATGTACTTCAACTCCCACACCCATGTGGGAGAGCTGAACGGAGTTCTGGACTCCTGGCTTTGCCACGAATATGGGGGCATTTAGGAAGTGAACCAATAGATGGGATTTTTAAAATAAAACGTTTACAAAAATAATACATGTTTATCAAGAAATAAAATGAGCATATACTAGAAGGGCATTAAGTAAAAACTGCCATCAGAAGTAATCTCTTCCTCAATAATTCTTCTAGAGATGTTTTATAAGTGTAAAATACACATACCACTCCAACTTACTAAAGCAATCATATATCACTCAATTCTGTAACAAGCTTTTCTTACTTTATATACATTGGCTACCACATACTCATTTTCATAGACAAATATTAACATACTTCTATTTGAAGACACAGAGGGACAGAGATTCTTCATCCACTGGTTCGTGTCCCAACTGGCTGCATTAGCTGGGAGAGGGCTGGGCCAAAGCCAGGAGCCAAGAACCCCATCAGGTCTCCCGCATGGACTGCAGGAGCCCATTTTGAGTCCTGGCTATTCTATTTCATATTCAGCTCCTTACTAATGGCCTGGGAATGGGTAGTCCAAGTGCCTGGGCTCCTGCACCCACTTGAGAGCCTATGAGAAGTTCCCAGCTCCTAGATATGGTCTGGCCCAGTCCCAGGCATTGCAGCCATTTGGGGAGTTAATCAGCAAAGGGAACATATCTCTTTGTCTCCCTTTTTTCTCTGTAACTATGACTTTAAAATAAATACACAAGCCTTTAAAAAAATGCAGGTGCTATGAATTTGAACTTTTACCAACTTCCCAGATGTCAATGACCTGGGACATCACTTTGACAACCACTGTTGCAGGGAAATGAATCCAAAATGGAAGTCACTGATGAACCTCTCCCCTCCAAGGACCACTAGATCAAGAAATACCAAATGTAAAAAGGTCACAAGTCCCAGGCAAACCTTCACTCTGTTATTGAGAAAAGGAAAAAGGATGCTGTAAGAAAGAGGTTCCAGGGTGTGCATTTGGCCCAGACACCAGGTAAGACACCCCTGTCCCATTTCAGAGTGCCCATTTCAATAACCATCTCTGACTCCTGAGATGGCTTCCCATTAAAGTGGACTCTGAGAGGTGACTGTGGTGGTTCAACTCACTGCGTTTCCAAGTCCTATCTGCGGTCCCCTGCCTGGTCCAGGGCTACTGCACATCTCTGGGGAATGAAGCAGTGCCTAGGAACTCCCTGTTTCTCTGCTTCTGTAACAGGGGCTGGTGTTGTGGTACAGCAGAGCAGCCGATTCACCCCAAGATGTAAAAGCCAACATCCCATGTTCAGAGTCCCAATTTAAATCCTGGCTGCTCCACTTCCAATCTTGCTTCTAGCTAATGAGTCTAGGGAGGTGGCAAAAGATGGCCCAAAGGGTTTGGGCTCCATCACTCATATAAGAGATCCAGATGGAGTTCCTGGCTCCTGGCTACAGCTTGACCCAGACCTGGCTATTGTGGCCATACTGGGACATAGCATGGGACAGAAGACCTGTACTCCGCCTTTCAAAGAAAAAATAAATCAAGTGGTTTTTTTCTTCTACAAACAAAAAACAAAACCAGGTTGCTATTTTAGAGGACAAACAAACAGGACTCTAAGAAAATCTTGACTAAAGATCCCAAACTTTCAGAGCTCGCACTCGTCCCAGGAGCGCCTCCTACCTCTCACTCTCATCAGCAGCTTTTTCTGCTTCCTCCAACTTTTGCAGGGCAGTAGCCAGGCGCTCCTGAGCACGGTCCAGCTCCTCTTCCACCAACTGGATCCTCCGGTTCAAGGAGGCCACCTCAGCTTCAGCCTGCATTCAAACACAAGAATGGAAAGAGGAAGCGGAGATAAGGAGGGAACAATCAGTTATGACAGTAAGATTGCAGCTGACTGACATGAAAGGGCCAGAAATCCAGCAGGGAAGAAGCTGTCTCAGAGCAGGTGCTGACAGAGCCAGCAGACCTAACCATGCATGCATATTCCATCCCTGTCCCATCAACCAACTCCCAGACATCCCACAGGAAGAACATTTTAAGACTCAGTTCCAAGCTCAGTGCGATGGCTCAGCGGCTAAATCCTCCCCTCGCTAGCACCAAGATCCCATATAGGTGCTGATTCATGTCCTTGCTGCTCCACTTCCCATCCAGCTCCCTGCTTGTAGCCTGGAAAGGCAGTGGAAAGGCAGTGGATGATGGCTTTGGGACTCTACATCCACACAGGAGACCCAGAAGAGGCTATTTGAGGAGTGAACCAGCAGATCAGAGATCTGTCTCTCCTCTCTGTAAATCTGCTTTTTCAGTAAAAATAGATATTAAAAAAAAAAAAACCCTCAGTTCTTTGTGTGGGTCAATGACACTTACATCTCCTCTGGACTCAGTTCCCAGTCCTGAACACATAGGAGTCAGCCAAGGTCAGCAAGGCTCCCTCTGCCTGAGCTCTAGCCAGGAGGTGTGTCTCACCTTAGCACCTTGGCCCCAAGTGTCTCATAAAAGGGAAAAACAAATAAGCAAGGTGTCTTGAGGAGGAAATCTTGGGTTATCTATTAATTTACTGCTTAACTCAAGTGGCCACCTCTGATCACCTTACCCTAATGACATCAGGAGCATGGCCAGCCAACACAAAGTCTTCCAGAATAGCCTGCCAGACTGGCAAGCAAGAAAATGGAACGTGAGCATCTACCCCCATCGGGTCAGCCCCTTCAACTGACAAGAAGGCGGCTCCGATTCCTGCAGTGAAGGGACATGGAACAGAAGAGAGTGTTTCCATCATCCCAACCACCATTCCTGCAAACACCTGAGCCCTCCGCTTTGCTTCACCCCACAGGATAGCTAAGGCAAGCCTTGCCCTGGCAGCCATCCCACAGCAAAGCACAGGCTGGAATCCAAGAAAAGCCACACTACCTCCCTGGCAGCGGCGCAAGAAACAAGGAAAGGAGGAGGCAGCTGCACATACGGACACACTCCTTCCGCCACCCGGACCCGAGCCTCTCCTACACACACACACACTCCTTCCCCCTGCCCCTTTACGGTGGCAGGTACGCTGCCTGCCACAAGCAGACAAGAATTTAGCCTACCCTGTACACCATCCAGTTCAGATGCTTATCCAAGCGGCTGGTGAACACGATCTCCCTTCTACAGCCCAGATTGTGCCTGCATTCTATTACCCTGATTTCCTCCTAGCTGGCAGGGGTGAGGGCAGCTATAGAAATCTGGGCCATCAGCCCCTATGGGGGAAGGATATAGCCCAGAAGACTCCTGCTAACAATCAAAATTGGCGCAAAAATTTCCACATACAAACGTGACAGTTCGAGAGACTAGGGAGGAAGGGTGAGGCAGCTGGGGCCATACTCCAACCACCAGGCCACTGAAACAGAAACTGAGATGTCCACGCCCACTGAAATAACTAAGAAACCGTCCACTTCTCTGATGATACTACTCAAATCCCCAGCAAGACAAATGTGCTCAAGAAAAAGAGGTAAGTGTGCTCTGGCTCTGTCTCCTTCAGGAAAACAGACGTCCCCTAGGAAGACACGCATTTCTTCTTATAAACTCAACAAGGCCAACCAGTCCAGAGCAAATTAGGCTAGCAGGCATGAAACTAGGAAACAACCAAATACAAGTGACCCCTTCAAATGCCCAGAACTAAACATCAAAACCTGCAAGAGGACTTGGAGGAATCTCCTGAGACATTACATCCCTACCCAGTTCACCAGTAATTACCCAAACTGGAGAAGGTAACAGGCGACGGGGGTGTGTGGGGGGGAGGGAGGAGATGGAGAAGAGATGCAGTTTCTATGACAACAAGCAGGCTCAGACAGTTTCTCCCACAATTCAGCATTTACAATAGAATTCTTAGCAAGACTGAAAAAAGAGGAGAAAATACATCTTGGGGCCCTGGCAAGAGTAAATGAGCAAGAAAATGTGGCAGAAAGCAGAATCCCAGGGCCTGGCACCATGGCCTAGCTGCTAAAGTCCCTGCCTTGAATGTGCCAGGACCCCTTTGGGGCACCGGTTCTAATCCCAACAGCCTTGCTTCCCATCCAGCTCCCGGCTTGTGGCCTGGGAAAGCATTGGGACCTTGCACCCACGTGGGAGACCCGGAAGAGCATCTGAGCTTCTGGCTTCGGATCGGCGCAGCACTGGCCATTGCAGTCTCTTGGGGAGTGAATCATTGGACGGAAGATATTTCTGTCTCCTCTCTGTATATATCCAACTTTGCAATAAAAATAAAATAAATCTATAAAAAAAAAAAAAAAAAAAGGAAAAGAAAGCAGAACCCCAGACAGGAATCCCAGCAAGAGCTTCCGGGTACCCCAAGGCGGGTGCGGGCGGGATGTCACAGTTCTCTTTTTTTCCTCCTCCCACAGAGGATCGGTTCTCTTTTATAGAGAAACCAAAGCCAATAAAATCACCATGGGATATGCTGTTTATAAAAGGAATACAGAAGATAACCTGCTTTGCCTCCACACCAGAGCCTTTTGGGTCAGCAGCAAGTACCAAGAGTTTAAACCGGACTTTGTGGCTTACACCGTCTCTGGGCGAACAGGAAGCCCTGTGCTTTTTCAATCACCTCTGGTTGCAGCTCATCCACCCAGGTGTGGCTATGGCCCTGGCACCCTTTCCTCCTCCACTAGGCACAGAAGATACACTCTTAGGCCTGACTCTGCTGATAATAATAGGATTCTCCATTGCCCAGAAGGCAAAGATCCCAGGGGTGGGAGTGGAATGCAGCAAGCAAGCAATTTGGTGGCACCAGAAGATGGCTGCCAACAGGCTGGGCTTGGAATTAGGTTTGGTTTCAATGCTATCATCCTCACTTCCAGAAAAGACTCTCACAGTACTTCCCAGACAGACCTGGGGCCAAGGAGCAAAAGGGATTAGGCCCACATCTGGCACTCTACCACGCTGGGGCTTCCCTCAAAGCCAAAGATGAAATCTAAAGGAGAAAGCTGAGCTTGACCCTGAGAGTGAGGGACTGCTGGCGTTCCCTGTGTTCAGATATCGTGTCCTTGGGGAATTTATATTTTACCAAGAGGCAGGCAGGCTGGCTGGAAGGAAGGGAACAGAACTATCGGGCCCCAAAGTAAACAAAGGTGGAGTCTAAGCCGGGCAAAGGGCTATTTGCCTCTCCCAGTGAGTGTGTGCTTCCTGGGGGAGGCGGGCAGCAGCAGGAGAGCAAATCTAAACCAAAGAAGGTTGATAAAACCCACAGCTTAGGCCACCAGACCCTATCAGTAGGAGAGAACCACCCAATAAAAGCATCCTAACCCTCACTGGAGATGAACAATTTGGGATTAAGGCTAGAGTCAAAACTTGTCCAAAGCTTCATCCTTCCTCCCTGAAGTTGTTTGGAACACACACCACACGGTGTTGTGGCGTAGTTGTCCAGCTGCTCCATTTCAGATCCAGTGCTCAGTTGCTGCACCTGAGAAAGCAAAGACGGTCCACATGGGAGATCCAGAAGCAGTTGCTGGATCTGGCCAGACCCAGCCCCAACTACTGCGGCCATGATTTCTTCCTCTATTTCTGCCTTTCAAACAAATTCTAAAATATTTAAAATACACACATACAGAAAAATGCAAGGGAAAATTAAGAGACCAAAAACATGTAAGGTGAACCATACAATTAAAAGTGGCTACAATGGTAAATTCTGTTACTTATATTTTTGTAACCACCCCCACATAAGGAAAAAAGACTGCCTTTAAACATTAACTCTGCCTCCCAAGTAAACATGTAATTTTTTAAACATAAGTAAACATGCTGTTGTGCATTGGTGTTACAGTATAGTAAGTTAAGCCTCCCGTGCCAGCATCCCATGTCTTGCCCGTTGTGCTCAGATCCTGCTCCCTGCTAATACTGCACCTAGGAAAAGCAGCAATGAAGGCCACGTAATTGGACCTGGCCACCCACATGGGACATCAGATGCAGTTCGGGGCTCCTGGTCAGCCTGGCCTGGCCTGGGCTGTTGTGGCCATTTGGGAAGTGAATCAACAGATGCAAAGCTTCTTTCACATCTCTGCCTCTTCGTGTCACTATGCCTTTTAATTTTTTTTTAATACTAGGCTGCCATCTGTTTATTTTTTACAAAGGAAGCTGAAAGTAGCAAGGTGCTACTTTATAAAAGGTCATCTTGATGCCAAAAGCAGAGGAGGGGGCCCCCCAAAACAACATTTACATAGTGCCAGCTTTTGCACTCACCCAGCTTCACAGTAAGGGTAGCTGGGATGTTACACAAAGTAACCAGAGGAATAATGGACAACCCCCAGTGACAGCCTGAGATACCATCAGGGTGTGCAGAGCTTCCTGCTCCAGAAGGGAGGAGCTGCAAACCCCACATTCCGCAAGGCCCACAGAGGATAACAAGGAGCCTAAACAGCCGCCCCCTTTCAACAGCTGTCTCCTGACTAGGGGTTCAGAGTTCATTAGAGCAGGCACCCTCCTGCTGGCTGGGGAGAAGATACTGGTTTCATGAATATTTAACTAGCACCCCACTTCCCCATTCTGACAAGGTCCTTTCTATAGACCTCAGTTCAATAAGCAAATCTGGCAGGCTCTGCATGAGGGCTTAGCTCAGCACACACCTGAGGCTGGCGGCTCAGCCACGGCTGGTAGAACAGTGCTCAGGTTTCTAAGGGGAGGCTGCCTAGTGCTACACATGGCCAGCTCCTTCAGCCACCAAGTCCTCCTCCGACGCCGCCCAGTGTGGTCTCCAGAACAAAAGAGATGGGAAAGCGTCACTAGTCCAAGTCATCCAGCCAGTCCCTCTCACTTGAACGGATAATTAGACGTTGCTGGCAATACTGAACAGAAA